ACAGACACATCCGAAGGACGGACGCCTGGAAGCGGAGATGGATGCTCGCTCTCACTGTGTGAACGCTGTTTGTGAAACTTAGCTGAGAAGAACTAGCTGTTCCGTTGAGTGTGTCCATCTGTTACCCTCGGGGTGCACGAAGCTGGCCCTGGTAGCAGAAGTGCTGTGAAATAGTTGCTGGTGGGGGTACACAACTCTCACTGGTATTTTCATATCTGTGAAGCTCTCAAGAGATGAAATGTTAATAATTAGTTCTTCTGCAACCTTGAGAGACTAGTGTGCAATGCTAGTGTAGGATTGGCTGTTAAAAGTGATGCTTCCTGCTATACTATAAAGCTGTCTTAGTAAAAAATACACTTTTGTTCCGTCAGATGGAGGCTTATCAAGAGCAGAAACAAAACATTGGCTTATTCATTCCAAAATGTCACTTAAATAAAAAGAACGAAAATCCCTCACTTGGTATAATTCTTTTAATTTTAGGTTCAACTTTATTTACAACTGAATTCCCATACACCTGAAGAGTCTGACAGAAGAAGCCGTCTCTGTGAGCACAGCTTTAAAATGTAGAGAAAAGGATACGTGTGATGCAGGGATTTTTTTTTTATGTCATTCTTTTCCTGAAGGCCACTAAACTTTCTCTTGTATGAATAGAGAAGTGAATCTCAACTGTTTAGGTAGCGGGATGGCAATGTGATATCAGTGTTTTAATCACTTTTCATTGTAATAGTCACCAAATTTTTTTTGTACAACATTAAACAAAATGGTTAAGATTCTGTTTGTTTTGGGTTGGTTTGTTTGTTGGCGTTTTTTTTTCTTTAGTTGTCTCCTACTTTTAGATATGTATTTGTCATGGTTTAACCCCAGCCGGTGACTGAGCACCACCCAGCCGCTCGCTCACTCGCCCGCCCCGGTGGGATCGGAAGAGTAAAAGTGAGAAAACTCGTGGGTTGAGATAAGAACAGTTTAATAATTAAAATAATAATAATAAAAAATTGTAATGAAAAGGAAAATAACAAAGAGAAATAAAACCCAAGAAAAAGAAGTGATGCAAATGAAAAACAATTGCTCACCGCCCTCCGACCGATGCCCAGCCAGTCCCCGAGCAGCGGCCCCCCGGGCCAACTCCCCCCAGTTTATGTACTGAGCATGACGTCCCATGGTATGGAATGTCCCTGTGGCCAGTTGGGGTCAGCTGTCCTGGCTGTGCCCCCTCCCGGCTTCTTGTGCACCCCCAGCCTTCTCCGTCGGCAGGGCATGGGAAGCTGAAAAGTCCTTGACTAGTGTAAGCACTGCTCAGCAACAACTAAACCATCGCTGTGTTATCAACATTATTCTCATGCTAAATCCAAACCACAGCACTGTACCAGCTACTAGGAAGAAAATTAACTCTATCCCAGCCGAAACCGTATTTTAAACTTTATTACTTTCCTTCAGGAATACAGAAGATCTTGGAAATGAGGAGGACCTAACCCATTCAGGGACCATTCGGATGCTGTGATCTGCATCGCTGAGCAGGGAATTAGTCTGAGGGAGAAATTAAACAGTGTAAGTAGGTGCAATATAATTTTGAGTCTTCTTAACTTAGAGAACAGAATTGCTATTTTGAGGGAGTATGAGTACTTAAAGGCAAGTGTAGCCTTTGTTCAAAGCTTATCGGAACTGATGTGGAAGCATTACTGTTTGTACAGGCCTCGGAGGAGAGGCAACGTGTATCTTTTCCCTCTGTGCCCCCTTAAGAAAATAACAACCCCACAAAGTCTGTTGGACTGGCCTGAGATCCAGTTAAAATACGAAATTAATTTTGTATATTTTTTCTATAGCTGCGGGACAGAATTTGGGTCATGTTGAAATGTTTTGCCAATGCCATATGCAAGTGGTGCCGTGTCACACCGAGCTGTTGCAGCAGCCCAGTGTGCTGTGTCATCCTGCAAGGGACACTCGTACTTCTGCTGCTTCTCAACGTTTCAGGCTCTTGCAGGTAGTAAATGTCAACCTTTATAGTCTTGGGGTTTTTTACGTGCTTGGCTAAACATCAACTCCAGTTGGATGCGTCACTTCCTAACGCCTCTAGCCTTCCATAGTTCTGCTTAATAACTCTTTTCGAGACTTGTTTCCAAATTCTGCCTCTGATCAGAAGATGCGCCGTTGCTTGTGCGCTGTCCTCTTTTATGAAGGCATCGTTGGATGCTGCCAAGGGAACTGAAATTTGCCAAAGTGCTTGGTTCTGTTGCCAGTTGTACTGGTAAGCTACGTGCAGAACAATTACGACAGCTTGATGCTTCAGTCAAATTGAAGCTGTGCCGTGTGGGATCGATACCGAAAGAATACTGGAAAAATTAGTGGTAGGGGCTGTTCACCTTGGTCCTATGGATGGAAGGCCCGGACATACGGTTAGCAAAATACGTGGTGTCTTAGGCAACTGCCAGATGGGGCAGATGAAGCTAGCAGGGGAGTGTAGAACGGAACAATTCTTGCACGGGGAAGCGAGGGAAGGGAAGGTGGAGGTTTGGAAGGCTACAAGAACAAGCCGCAGAGCACTGCTGCCGAGGCCTGGCATTTACCAGCATCCCTCATCTTCCATTGCCGCCTGCCGGTTTGCGTTGGAGTCGTGTTTGTTCCAAGTGCCCGAAGCTACCTGTGGAAGAGTGCCGCCAGCGCGGTAGCGGCTCCCTGCCTTCTCCTTTGACTGTGGGTGCCGGGGCTGCCTCAGGAGAACCCCTCTACTCTCCCGCGCCCCCCGCCTT